AAGGCAAAAGGCAAGTTCGAATTTGGTTTCGGGATCTGAACGTTATTGCCGACTTTAGGGATTTTCAGCTTCAGTTCATTTTATGTAAATCACATATTGATATTGGAATAGAAATCGAGTTTGTTGTTAAATTTATTGTAATTTTATATTGAAATTGCGATTGGTGGTTGTTGATGATTGAGAATTCTTTTTATTTATTTATTTATTTAGAAGTTGAAATTATGAAATAATCATGTAGAAAAGCTCCGTTGAGCTTGGTTTAGATTAGAATCTGTTTTCTTAATTTTTTTAAGAAAATTTCTGAAATTTTTCTTGAATTTGTTACCGGAAACTGCAGAGCTAGGTCGGAACTTGGCCGGAATCCAGTGATTCCCTGGCTTCTGGCAATTGTACGGTGCGGCAGTGCCTACTCTCTTTTTTTTTTTTTTTTTTTTTTGTCCTTTTATTTTGGTGGACTGGGCTCTGTTTTCTTCTTCTTTTTTTTTAGGCTAAAAATAAAGAAGGGGAAAAGATGTGAAATGGGCCAAAACCCTAACCAATTGTTGAGCAGAAATGGTTGGAAACTTCACATGTCGAAAGAGAGGGCCGGCGACTAACCCGGACCGGAAAACTAACTTCTAACCAAAAATAATTAAGATGATTTTGATTTTGAGTTTTTTTATTTTTACTTTTTATATATTTAATAATTATTATTTTATTTAAATTTAATTTAATAAATTAAAATTTTACTGTATGAAAATTTTAATTTTTAAATATAGCAATAATTGCTAAAAAATAGTAATTTGAAAGTTAGGAAGAGATAAATTTAATTACCCAATTTAGTCAATATGTTAGGTAAAAAAATTTTAATCTTGAAATTTATTGTATTTTATTGTAATTAAACTGCTAGTAATTACAAACTAATCAAGTGATTGGAACTAATCCAGTGATAATGTTGCAAGGCTTGACATGGCAACAAATTCGGGGAATGTGGAATTTGAGATTTCATACAAATAAGAGGACAACTTTAAAAAAATTTTCAAATTAAAGATATTATCATTTTTTTTATTACAAATCAAGGTTATAATTTTTTAAAAGTTCCCAATAAAAGAAATATATATGATTTTATTAAAGAAGGATGAAGTTTTTGTTTAGTCTAAGAAAAAGTTCATATCATTAATTAGAAAAATTTTAAAAGATTATCCTTTGTATGAAATCTATGTGAGATATAAAAATTATGTCTTTATGATCAAGTTTTCCTTGAAACACTATAGGCAGAGCCGATAGAAATTGATACATGGATCTGTTTTAGCTGCAGTACATGATTTTGATTCACTCAAGGCAAATGCATTGCTCTATTTTATTGTGCTTTTATAATTATCACTTACCACTTGCTCGGCTGGAAGAGCCACTAGAAATTTTATTGTGTAGCTGAAAGTTGTTACTGTCAATTTTAGATTTGTAATAAATTATAAGGGAAATTACACGTAACTTACCTGTATGGTTTTGGCTGGGTGCACATAACCCTTAGGTATGTGCAATTTACATGAATTTTCCGAGGTTTTAATTAATTAGTTTATTAATCTGTTGGAGTGTATATCCATTTCAGGCATGTAAGAAGCTCAATCAAATTGAGCTCTCAGATTGTGAAATATATGCCTCCTGTGAACCCTGCCCAATGTGCTTTGGTGCCATCCATCTCGCGAGAATCAAGGTAACACCAAATCCTCCTATTTCATTTTTGGCATCTCGATATTTTTAAAGGTGTGTTTTCTCTTATTAAATATTTCTGGAGCAGATATTGGTTTATGGAGCCAAAGCCGAGCAGCCATAGCAATTGGGTTTGATGTATTGGAAGAAAGCACACAGTTTTGCAAACTAATCTTCAATGTGATCCAAAGTACTTGATCAATCTGATGTGCTCGTGGATACAAGATTATATGCATTTGTAGAGTTGAACATATTGATGCTCGGATGCAGTCCATTGTAAAGAAGAGTAGCGCTTGATTGCTGACCATGATGTATTTGCAGCATTAATTAAAAGTCAAGATTTAAGAACTAATCACTTTCTTCTGCATATTGCTCTAGAAGCTTAGCTTGTATTGATTAATGCAGCTTGATAATAACCTACTGGGGTTATTTTCCAAGTAAATTCTTGCAATCAGATACCGGTTGTAATTGTTGCTTCCTCAGAATAATTGAATCAAGTCACTGGAGTTATATATTCTCGACATTTTTCATACTACGTTTGCCCTTTAAGATAAAAGCATCAATCTAAGTAGATCGATGATGTTATTTATTTCTACATAGCATTCAGAGTACATACCAATACCAAGAACAATATATTGAAAATTAGGAAGAGAATCTTATCAACAAGATTGTGGTCTGTTCCATTCCCCCATTGTTTTTCTTAGTTTTATGATTGGCACTAACATGGATGGGTATCAACCAGTCACCAAGAAAATTTTGTTTATCGCCCATTGCGAATTGCAAGTTCTACTTGACTTGGAAAGGTGTTGGAAACGACGGTCATGCTACCACTAGCATCAAAGTCATGACCAGATTTATCAGATGTTTCACCAAGCAAGTACTCTACCTCTTCTGCATCCCTTAATTCGTTAACCCATGGATGCTTTGTCATCATTCTCAATCCCTCTAATTCCATAGCCACTTCCTTCATTGTAGGCCTTTCCTCCCCTTTTACACTTAAGCATTTCCTTGCAAGGTCAGCTACCTCATTAAGCTGTTCAATGTTTGCTTCATTCACTATAGAACCATCAAGAATTTTTCCCAAGCAATTATCTTTTATTGCAGAAAGAAAATACATGGAAAGATTTCTCTCTTCCTCTGCCCTGTCAAAGGAAAGTACACTTTCTCCAATCAAAAGCTCGAGAAGGACAACTCCAAAGCTATAAACATCACTTTTCTCAGTTAATTGGCTTGTATGCAAGTACTCAGGGTCCAAGTATCCAATGGTTCCTTGAACAACTGTAGATAAGCCAGCCTGGTCTTGTGAAATTAACCTTGAAATACCAAAATCAGATACTTTTGCTGTATAGCTGTCATCTAAGAGTATGTTTGTAGACTTTATATCTCTATGAATGACTGGTGTAGAGGCTGCAGAGTGCAAATATGATAGCACTCCTGCAGTTTCTGCTGCTATCCTTAAGCGGATTTCCCAAGTCAATGATGAAGCCTGTCTTTTATTGTGGATGTGATGGTGGAGAGTGCCATTGGTAATGAATTCGTAAACCAGCAATGGAACTTCTATCTCTAAGCAACAACCTAACAGCTTCACCACATTTCTATGGTTGATTTGTGAAAGAATAACCACTTCATTTATGAATTGCTCATTTTGACTTTGATCAATAATGCGGGACTTCTTGATTGCAACAATTCTCCCATCTCTAAGAGTTCCTTTGTAAACTGTCCCATAACCTCCTTGACCTATAATTTCGCTTTCATCAAAGTTGTTTGTGGCTTTCTCAAGTTCTTCAGCTGTAAAAATTTTAGTTGTTTCTGCAGATCCTTCATGGTTGGATAGTTGTTGTTGCAACATCAAACCTCCATTTTGCATGAAGAACTTTTGTCTGAGTTTGATGAGCTTCCATTTATTATATCCCCAAGACAGCCAAGTGCCAACTACTAGCAATAATGCAAGGCCTCCAATTCCTTTATAAGTTAAAGAAATGAGAGTGATTATGAGAGTTAATAGAACATGTTTTGACTAAAATGGGAAGTTAAAAAGCTCAAAACAAAATTAGTGTTTTTCAATGAAAACCACACCAGACTACAAAACAGTAGCCATTGGGTTATGCGAGGTCCATGATATTAGAGGAGGGGCCTTCCATCCAACTAGGACTGCAAAACACCATACTCTTAAAAGTTTTCCCTCTTATTGGAAGTTAAAACTAAATTGTTCAATGGGCATTCTACTTTTAGTGATTGTTGGGTTGAAGTTTGTTTAAGTAATCAAAACGGCTCCTGTGTCTGGTCTAAATATCCGTTTAACTTCAACCCAACGGATATTTAGACCAGACACAGGAGCCGTTTTGATTACTTAAACAAAAATCAGGACAGAAAATAAAAATCTGAAGTTGAAATAAAAAAAAAAAAAATGCAGAAGTATGTTGGATATGCCTACTTGGAGGTGTAATTAAATATGTATACTTGCCTACAGGGATCAGAATTCGCTTCCAGTCATACTGCTGATTTGCAACACAAACTTCTTTACCACTTATTTCAACATGATGGTAACCTTCGTAGCACGAACAGTTATAACTTCCTATTGTATTGGTGCAGATCATACCTTTACACTCATTGAGAATATTGGGGTTTAAACACTCATTTATGTCTGCAAAAAGAATGAACCCTATCAGAACAAGAACTACTATTTTGACTTCCATGAAAATATGAAACACAACGGATACAGCATGAGTATAAATATTACCTTGGCAACCACCAGGTAGGTATGGATTTCCTTCAAAACCCTCTAAGCACTTGCATCGATATCTATCATTATCAACACGAACGCAAGAGCTATTTCCTTGGCATGCATTGTCTTTTATACTTTCACCACATGCATCGTTGACGTCCCGAATTGACCAATCAAGCACCATAGGGAGTTTATTAACTTTTTGTAAGCGGCGAAGGTCATCTGGAGTAAAGTCGAACTTACTTTCTTCCACGACGAAGCCATAGCTGCAAGGGTTGAAGTTCCAAACTCTTGTATGATTACTGAAGCTTTTCACTGTTACAATGAAGTAGTTCGTTCCTTTGGCAATGGATGTCTTGCAACAGCCAATACCAGAACAATTGTGATTGGTTACATAATCAATGCTGTCACATTCGGTTCTGCAACCTGTAGCGTAAGTATTATTCCCTTGGAAACCTTCTACCCATGCATACGTATCACAGCCAACAGCAACAAACTTGTTTTCAGTGTCAGAGATAGTATAACTACCGTTTAAACCCACACGGAGCCAAGGATTGTTGTCATAAATTGGGTGACCGGACTTATTATAACAATCATGGGCTATAAATTGCATTATTTGCATCCTCCCTTCAAGAGTTATGTCGGTGACATTGAGTTCACTATCTTGTATAAAAGCTAATGGGAGACCATAAGTGTGATTGCAACTTATGTAAAAATTCTGATCATGGTAACATCCTTCTCTTGTACCAAATGGATATGGAATGTTTACGTTACCACATTTATCTGGACAACCAGGCCTCGCAATAGGAAGTTCTGCTGCAATTACTGCTAATGGTGCAGCAATAAGGATGACCAGCCAAAACCTTTCATGAATTCCCATGGCAAGTACTACTTCCTTCTTTCTTTATATTGAAATTCAAGTCCAAAGATCCTGCGAATGAAAAGTCCTTATAAAATTGTAGACTTTGAAAGACTAATTAATTGGACATCAATTTGAAATTATTGTACTAATATCTTGATGTGGTATGATCTTGCACAACTTAATGTCAAGTGTTGATTGCAATTTAAAATCACATGGGAATTAGAGTATTTCAAGAGTGATGCAATGCAACGGCTACTACTAGAAAATATAATTTTTTCGGAGAGAACATTTCGGTCAAGCAAAAATCTTGACCGAAAAAAGACTTAATTCGGTCAAAAATTTTGATCGAAATATACTTTAGTCCGATTAAAAAATATTCAACACAATAATTCGGTCTAAAATTATTTCAGTCAAATATATTTACCAAAATAAAAGAGCGCCAATTGGCGCTACCGTTAATTCAGTCAAGTATTTTATCCGAGTTATATTAACAATAAAATAATAAACATTTCGGTCAAAAATTTTGACCGAATTAATTAAGTAATATTTGTT